AAAAAAAAAAAAATCAAGAACAATCAGGGGCATAGCCAGAAAAAAATTTAACCCGGGGCTGCATATTATTGTACCTATTATTATAACCGAGAAGACATGGTCATGGGTCGGGTCGGCCCGCCGGTTCAGCCCGCGACCCGTGATTTTGGCCAATATGGTTCATGTTCAATATTTTATAGTTCAGAAACATTGAAACCGGAGGTTCGGCCTTTTCAAAAAAAAAATATTATTATTTAATTCATTGTTTACTTTTTTAATGAACCGGGCGGTGAAGAACTGACATCCAATAAATAAACTGGCCCGTGCATATGTTTGGGCCGGTTCAGGGCCCTCCAACCCGGTCCGTGCATACTTGAATCATGTTTGCATACGTCTTACGGGCTAGTTGAGCTTGTAATTAATTCACTCTCAATGCTAAGAAATTTCAAGAAAGCTAAATCACACAAACACTAGATTGAACAACACATGTTAAAAATATATAGTTACCAACTTCTTTGAAAATTTTTTTAATGATGGTCTGATTGCTCAAGTTATGTACCAAATCTATATAAAATGTAGTCTACACTGTAAATTATCTCTTTGAATTACGAGAATATAAAAACCAAAACAAAAAAAAAAAAATGTCTTGAATAAATTAATTCCTCCAAGTTCTTCTTAGTATTTTTATCAAACAAGTGGTGTGCATAAATTCAAACTATATTATTTTTAGTTTTTTTCCTCACTAACCAAATCATCTACATTACAACACAAATATTAATGATGTAGACAATAAAAAATATTTGTTTCAAACTACACATGTAATTGAATTAGCATTGTAATAAAATAAAATAAAATAAAATAGAACACATACCTTAAATCCAAGGCTTGGGGCCTTCAGCCTTAGAAGTTGTTGCAGCCCTTAGGAGGGTAGGCAGGGCTGCGGGAAGGCGTTGGCGGTGAATACGGGCAGAGGTGGAAGGTGGCCGACGAAAATTGGATCGGCGAGTGGTCGGGAGCTTCAAGGCTGAAGCTGCTTGCGGGGTTTGGAGGTGATAATTTGATGAAGATGATGTACTTGGGCTAATCTTGATGGACTATATATAAATTAGATGGTTTTGTAATTAGTTGGGCCTATTGAAATTAATGGAGTAATAATGTAGAATTTATTGGTTATAAATAGCCGAACGAAAATTTTATCCACGATATAAATTATTACAGAATTATTAGAAATAATTACCTCCTGGACACGAACTAAACTTTTAAAACTGCCTATTTAACAAGATTAAAAAAATCTTCGCACATCACACTTTCGGAGGTTACAGTTACGAGATTATCAAAAGTTTAATTCCACTTTTCTGCAACTAATTAATTACTACTCCCTCCTATTCATTATAAATGTCACTTTGACTTTTTTGATTCATCCATTTTATTATGTATCTAGACATTGTAGTATTAATTATCATTAATAAAACTGTAAGATTTATTGAGATTTTGAATCGGCTCTTCCCAAACACTAAACCTTCACACACGTATATCAAAAATTGCAGAACCTTTTTCTCGTCTTCTCTAATTTGTTGAAAGCAAATCTCGATCTAGATGGCGAAAGTTTATCTGTGGTTTATCTTTTTTTTTTTGGTTTATCTGTGCTTTTTTGTTGGTTTATCTGTGGTTTTTTGTAGAAATCAAAAAGTTTATCTGTGGTTTATCTTCAGTTGATCTACAACTTGTTTGGTGAAATCACTGAAACAACAATTCTGATTCATAGATATTCTCCCAACTTCGAAATTAATGTAAGTGTTGTTACACCACTCTCCATTGTAGTGCAAAAACACCATAAGTTTCTATATTTTGCTGCAAATTACCAGAAAAGACCTCAATTAATACTAAAAAAAACGGATTGGCTAAAAAAAATACACCCAAGCCGCCATGGTTGGAAATCAAGCTTCTGTTCAATGAAATTAGCATTGGCTATCTCAAATTAGACGAAAAGTATTCGAAATATACCTTCAATTTTCCAGATTGGTGTCGTCTTGAGTTTGAATGGAAGTGTTCGCGAGCTCGAGATTCAGAAAATTCCCTCTCGACACGATTTCCCCATATCCATACTAGAAAGGTGAGTTTCTCGCGAACTGATTTCAAGGGAGATTGAGTTAAGATTGTCTTCCTTCGGTGGAGATTGAGTTTTAGCGAGCTGATTTCCCTAAATTTTCTTCCTTCTGTTGTAGATTCGTAATTTTGGGTTATTAACTTTTATTTTGCTACAAAATCACGTTTAAGTTTTAAATCTCGTTTAATTGGCACATGCTGCTTAAATTACTCCTGAAGTGTATTTTCGCCGAATTATTAGTGTCTCATTATTTTAGCTTTCACATCCCTTCTCTATATATTAATTCAAAACGTGTTGAGTTTACGTGGCAGATTCACATGCTTCAGGATCATATTCGTTATTAGGCTTTGGTTGATTTTAATGTACTTCCAATCCAAAAATAATTAGGTCCGAATTATTCATAAATATGTTAATGGTCACTAGTGTGTATCCCGTGCGATGCACGGACGGGCTTTTTACTTAAAAACTTTTCTAAGACTTTATATTAAACATAGTTATTTATGTTTAACATCTCATTATTGTAAGAAAAGAAATGCCAAATATGAAAAATTATATATTATTTATTTGAATATAATGGGTATTCCCAACTAAACTAATAACATCAAACATTAGATATATGATAAAATTAATTATATGATCATCATACTTTTTGGAAAAAAAATCATCAATTAAGTTGAACTACCCGAATATAAAAAATAATTTGTGATATTATTGACCATATTTACCCGTTGTATTTAAAGATATCATTGACCATATTTTTATGACTTAAGGTTTACAAAATATATTTTTCAAAATAACAATTTTTTTTTTTTTTTAATTTGAATTTGACCTTTTCATCCAGGCGATATTTTCCACAAAAAAAAAAATAGTATTTTAGAAAATTTTCGACGTGAAAATAAAAAAAGATAATAATTCAATAGTAATCGATTAATTTAATATTTTTTAAAATTATTTGATTCGGTCATAATCAAATTTGGTTGAGCTTATCAAATGAAATCAAATTTTATACCTAAAATAGTATACTTTTTGTTTGATTTCCCATAACAAAAAAGTTCGTGCTTATCACCTTAAACCCAATCCAACCTATTTTAGATGTTAAATATATAGTAAGCAAATAATATATGCGATCTACAATATCCAATATTAATTTGAATTGTTTTAAATAAACAAAATTTTGAAATAATTATTTGCATACAAAATATTAAAATCGAAATCGTTATGGAATTGTTTCTTTAATATAAGAATCTTTTCAAAACATATCCAATATTAATTTGAATTGTTTTAAATAAGCAAAATTTCGAAATAATTATTTGCATACAAAATATCAAAATCGAATATGTTATGGAATTGTTTCTTTAATAAAGGAATTTTTTTCAA